TATTTGCATGTAGTTTTTTTTAATAGTGCACCTAGTAAAAACTGATCACATATTTTATAGTTATTCGTTATGGATAATAGACACTGCTAGAGTCAGCAATAATTCTGCTCAGTTGTTAACAGAAGGCAACAGGACACTAGACAACATTTGCTTTTCACTTAAAGTATGGGTTTCATTTCACAAGCAGTAAAATATTTTCTCAGCTTGATTGATTACACTCAAAATTAATTAATGATAAGGATGAAAACGAAAGTGACCATGAAACCAAGAAAAGAAATAAACGACCCACTAAGACCTTAGAGACCAAAAGAAGTGGTAATCGGAAGAGTGCAGTGCTGAGAACCAAATTCCGAAGCGAAGAAAAGGTATTACATGATATAAAATGTTTGATGGTAATATATAAACCATACTTATTAAGGCTTCGTATTTAATAAACAAGGATGATGAGTCACAAGATCAGAGGCGCAAGAAACATCAAGAAGAATTGGCAGCTCGGAAACAAGCTGATGGGCTCGCCAGGTTCAGTGAAAAATCGAATGAAAAGGCCAGTCAACATAAAGCTGTTTTTAGAGCATTTGAAAGTTATAAAAGAGACACTGCACTTCCAAAAGAAGTCAAGGATTTGAAGGTATGAATTATTATGGGATCTATTTTCTTCTATATGGCTGATACAAACTTTCTTTTTATTTGTAGATTATTGTAGATACAAAGAGTGAATCAATTATTTTACCGGTTTTCGGATTTGCAGTCCCTTTTCATATATCTACATTGAAAAACGTGAACAAGTCGGAAGAAGGAGAATATGTTTATCTACGGTTAAATTTTTTGACTCCGGGTCAAGCTACAGGAAAAAAGGAAGATAATGTTGGTACTTTACAAATTATTATATTGTATAAGAATCGAAATTATCGTCTGTTTGTACTTATTTATTCATCATTATTAGCCTTTCGATGACCCAAGTGCAACTTTTGTTAGGGCTTTCACATATCGTAGTACAGATCAATTATTATCTGAAATTTATAAAAAAATAATTGATCTCAAAAAAGCTGCTGCTAAAAGGTGACTTTATTTTTTTAAATAAGCTAATATAGTTAATATATTCTTGATTTTAACTTATGATTATTTGTTTACAGAGAGACCGAAAGGAAGGAGATGGCAGATTTGATAGCTCAAGATAAGCTGATTGAAATAAAAGGTAATTGTACGATTGCTCTTATATATAGTGATGTATATTTGCTGTGTCTTCTGGTTCTTCTTTCTGTATTACTGATGTTGATCTCCAGTCTATATCTATTTG